TCGCTGAAGAACTTTGGGTTTTGACGTCAGTCCGAACAGCTTGAAAAAGACGTGTTTTCAAGGAGTCGTTGCTTTGTGTTTTTTGTTGTTGTTTGTTTGTGTGTGTGTGTGTGTTTAATTTTTTTATTTTATTTTTTTTTAAGGTGACTTTCAGAAAGGCGTTAAGGTGGCCACAGCTAGGATGGGGCAGTCATGGCACAGGTGGTAGAGCGGGTTGTTCACTAATTGCAGGGTTGGCAGTTCAATCCCAGACTCTTCCTATTGGCAACTGTAGTGCACTTGAGCAAGGCACCCAAATGCTCTGTCCGACGTTGGAGGTTGATGCACAGTCAACGCTAGGTTTTGACGTCAGCCTGATTTTTCATTTGCAACCAAAATTCAACGTCTGTCCAACGTCGGGGATTGACGTCAAGCCAACGTTGGGTTTTGGCGTCAGCCCGATTTTCATTTTCAACTAAAACTCAACCTCTGGCCAACGTCGGGAGTTGACGTCAAGCCAACGTTGGGTTTTGGCGTCAGCCCGATTTTCATTTTCAACCAAAACTCAACGTCTGTCCAACGTCGGAGGGTTGACGTCAAGCCAACGTTGGGTTTTGGCGTCAGCCAGATTTTCATTTTCAACCAAAATTCAACGTCTGTCCAACATTGGAGTCCAACGTCTGTCTGACGGCAAATTGACGTCCTGTGCCTGCAGGGTTTGTTTCAGAAGCTGCTGGATTTGTCTGTGTGCCACAACAACAAACTGGCAGTGGTAAAATAATGCAGACCAGTTAAACAGTAAGTATCATCACAAACACAGTAGAACAGAATGTGTTAACGGTTTATGTACAGGTTTCCTGGTCATCAGCTGCCGGACTCATTTTATGACTAAGAACCTGTTTAAAGGAGCGGTTCAGCAAAATATAAAATTTAAACGGTTTCCTACTGACCCCAATGTCGTCTTTTAGCCCAGACTTGATTGGTATCCAAACTTTGTTTTGGAGCTGTGAAGCTAACATTTCTAACAAACACTAGAAGTCAATATTCACCTAAATCATTTCTGTAAATACTTCCTGAAAACATCTTTCAACCTCTCAAACCACGTCTATGTCTTCATTAAGGCGGCGCAGACTTCTCAGTGTGGTGTAGAACACAGTCCGACACACTGTGGGCTATAAAAGTGACCACAGTGTCATCACAGAGTAGATGCTGCGGGTGACCTCTCTGTCTCAGGAGCAGGATTGCTGATCTAGAATCGTTTATTATAGAAATGACAGTCATAATTACTGATCCAACATCAGTCCTGTGCAGCCTTTGTGTTGCCTGAAATGTCCGTAGTGGTGAAGTTTTGTTCATTTCTGTAGCTCAAAGTAAGTCATTCTGTGTCCAACACTACACTGACAAGTCTGCTGACTGTAATGGAGACCTAGATGAGGTTTGAGAGGGTTGAGAGAAGTTTTAGGGATGTATTTATGGAAACATCTGGGTTAATATTGCCTTCTAGTGTTTGAGCAACGTTACACATAACCAGCACCAAACTGAAGAAGCAGAACCAGTAATTGTAGTCATTTCAGTCAAATTTGATATTGGAATTTGTAAGACATTAAAAAAAAGTCAAATAATAATACTGAGCTTTTCTGTGATGCTTCCTATGTTATATAGCTGCATTCTGTACTGTTTACTGCCCAGTTCCTTTTTTGGACCGTGCTTTATTCCTTTAACAGATAAACACTGACCAAAATAAGAGAGAGGCTTTTCAGTTCCCAGCAGTCTAGAATAGAGTTTAGAGATCTCATGGGTCTTAGGAGAAAATATAAAATTAGAGACAGTATATAAAATCAGAGACAGTGTATAAAATTAGAGACAGTATATAAAATTAGAGACGAGCTCAAGCCCTTTGCATTTAAAAGATCAGCACTACTTCACAGCTGTTTAGACCCGTTGGCCACTGAAATAAACATTTAAAAATAACTAATATAATGTTAATAAATATTATAATGTTAATAATTATAAATAATTTAAATGAGTTTAATTATTGCATGATTATTATTATTATTATTATTACTATTATTGTTATTTAATCATTTGTTTATTTTATAATAATAATAGTAAATTTTGTAAATCAGTGTAATTATTTTAAAATGACTATTATTGTTATTATTATTATTATACAAATAAAATAAAACATAAAATTAAGTTCGTATATTATTGAATAAATAAATACATATAAATAAATAAACTAATTAATTAATACAAATAAACACATTGAATTATTATTATGTAATCGTTTATTTATCTTACTATTGTTAGGATATTAGAATAACGATTATAAATAATGTAAATAAGTATATTTATTATTCTGATAATTATTATTTTTATTATTTTGAAATCAAAATAAAGCATAAATGAAATCAAATTTTTATATTATAGAATAAATAAATAGATAATAATAAGAAGAAGAAGTGAAAAATATAAAAAAGCCATCAATCCTTATGCAGAATTTCTGTGTATAAATTATTCATACACAAGCATAAAACTGCATCCATGATCCTATAGTGTGCAGAACAAACTGAAGAGGTGAGATCACTGGATATAGATATAGGGATGAATGAGGAGGACAGGATGGAGAGAGGAGAGGAGAGTGTGAGTGAGAGTCATTATCACTGCTGTTTACACTGCTCTGCAGCTTTTCTGAACTGTGGAATTTTCTTCTTCTTCACGTCTCTCTCTGCTCTTTCTCTGAGCTCCCACTTCAGCTGGACTATCTCTTTGTCTTTGGCCTCAACCAGTTCTTCCATCTCTCTTCTCAGCTCTTCCTCTCTCTCCACACTTTCATACATCTCGTTGGTGAGTAGCCACCATCATTTTCTGACCCCAAACTGAAGATCTTATCCATCAGTGCAGTGACCTGAGTGCGGTCTGCCATGTTCTCATTGATAAAGAAGTGATAGCGTCCACCACACGTCTCCACCACCTGACTCAGCTCGTTTCCTGCTGTAGCCAAATACTCCTTTATGGTCCGGTTTTCCAGTCGGTCCACCTCAGTGAAGAGAACGATGGTGTATTTAGGCGCCTCATCACCAAAGATCCAGTGCAGTCTCTTCACCGTCTGCCGATCCTCCTGAGTGAAGCGACCCACTGAGAGCACCAGGAGGAAGACGTGTGGTCCAGGACAGGACAGAGTGATACATTCAACCAGTCTGTTAATCACTGCTGTTTCTGTCAGGTCAGTGTCAAATAAACCAGGAGTGACGACCACAGACACTTTACAGCCATCAACCTCTGCTCTGGCCTTTATACAGTCTTTGGTCACTGACTGAGCAGAACTGGACACGTGGAAGACCTCCTGGCCCAAGATGGTGTTTCCAGTAGAGTCTTCCCCACACCAGTCTTCCCCACCAGCACTATCCTTATAGAGACTTAAAACAGAAAACAGAGCAATGTTAAGGAAGAACACTAAGGCCTTGTTCAGACTTTCAGACCTAATCCTATTTGTGGTAAATCCAGATTGTACCCAGACTGATTTTTGATAGTGTGAACTGCACAAAACCACATGAAATCCAATTTTTGATAACTGGAGTAATGGAAGTGCTGGGATTCAGGAAGAGTGCAGACGATTTATGCTCATGCCAGAGAATTTTGAAGAGTTCGGAGGATGAGACGATGTACGTCCAACTCTCCTGCAGCCACGTTTGAAATCCGCATCACCAGCACAGTTACTGATGCCTATGTTGTTACCATAGCAACCCATGCAGATAGGTTTGTGATGTCTAAACACACAACCTGATCTGATCACTTGTCAATAACAGGGTGGACAGTCGCCTCAAAAGTTCTGCCTGGAGCCTAAACAGAGCCTCATTGAAGAACTTTGTTTAATCCAAATGACCAAATAAAAAATAACTTTAAATAAAATATTAAAAAAAAATTAAATTTCACAATTTTATTTTTATACTTTTTTTCAACTTTTGCATATAAGACACAAGCCAGTTATGATATTGGGGGAAAATAGTGTCATTTAGGGCTTTTGGATTTGTGTTTTTTGCTACATCAAGTCTGTTTATGCTCAGAACTGTAGAGGTCACTTCATTTGGACTGTACTTGGTCCAGTGAAGCTCACATATTAGCTATGGCTTCATATTAGTGTGCTGCATCTTAGTGACGGCTCCTCCAACAGCAACTGAAAGGTCTGACAGTGAATACACAGATATATTCACTAATATCTGTTCCAAAAGTATTCATGGATACATTCATCTCAAACAGTATCGAGTTTTTACTCATTCATTTATTTTTATTGACGTTACTTTATTTGTTCGCTGCCATTTCGGGTAAGGAAGAAGCGAGTAATGGAGGCTGTTTATAAGGAGCCTGGCTGCTTCCTGCCCCCCCCCAAGTAAAGTTGTGTCAGAGAGCCTGTAGAAAGGAGAGTTTCCACTCTGCAGGGTCTTCCGGGTTTCAGACGCTAGAGGGCGATCCCGAGCGAGTTCAAAATGAATGGGTTGATATGGAGCATTTGAGCAAAATCATAGTTTATGAATGCTTAAATAGTTTTAATATAAAAGAATACAATCATTTCCTGAACACAGAACAGCATAAAACACTTTAACACCGCTGTTATGTTTTTAAGAGCTTTTAAACTCGAGTTATAGGAGTTTAAAACGGCGCCTCATGTACGTTCATGACGTCAGTGAGCGCGAACAGCCAATGAGCCGCTCCGCTCGCCAATCAATCATCACACTCTAGCAGTAAAGCCCGCCTCCTGCTGCCCAAAACCCGTTTGCTGTAGAAAAAAGTAAACAAACAGGTGAGATTTCTTTGTTTTTTAGTAAAATCCATCCTTCTACTGTCTAAAATTAAAGGAAAGTTCTGGTTCAGTGATTAGAAACTATTTTAACTGTTCATTTTTAGCCGTTGAGCTCCATTCACTCCCATTCACTGAGGACTCACTCGCGGGCGCCCCCTGCTGATCAGCAGTCCTGTTATGATATAACGGGAGGAACAGGAGCGGCCAGGCTCCTCATACACCCGCTCTGGTTGTGTAATGGCGGCTGTTTCCGGTTTGCTGTTAGTTTCGGTTTTGTCTGTGTGCAGACTCCGGGTCCCGGATGTAGTCTGTGTCTCTCGGCTTCCTCAGAGCTCCGTCTTCGAGTAGCTCGTGTAGCGAATAGTTTTATTTGAACTTATTTTACAACAGAATGGTTTTAACGCGCCGATGATTCTCCAGAGAGAAACTAAAGGAATGAGTTCATCAGAAGAGCAACGTCATCTACAGGTTTAACCCTGCAGTCCACAGAAACTACAGTAACTACAGAAACTACAGAAATGGCCCACTCGGACAGTAAGTAGCCTTCAGTGCTGAAACTGTAGCGTTAAGCTGAAGCGGGTCAGATCAGCTCCGGGACTCTGTCCTCCTATCCTCGTGTCCTAATGGCTGGTTCAGTATTTGTCAGTGTTGTTGAAGGTTTAGGTAGAGTTTGGTGTTGGAGAGTCAGTGCGGATCAGTCCAGACAGAAAATGTGAACGTTTTGTGACAAAGAACCGTCTGTACTGTTATATATATTTATCTTTTAACATAATCAAGCAGTTTCTTATGATATAAAATAATAATGAAAAAAAAGGAAAGACAAAAAGTCTGGCCTGGGCCTCTTAACCCCACTGAAAACGCTGAAAGCACCCTTAGAAACCATTACGTGTTTTTGTTGGTCTCTGATGGTTTTTTTGATGGGTTGCTATCACTATGTAAAGGATTCTAATGGTTTAATAGGTGACCAGTGGCTGATTCTAAGTGCATTTGATGGTTTCCTTAAGGTCTTCTACAGGAAGCTAGTGGTCTCTGTTGAAAAGCCAATTCCCATTAGAAAGTAAATCCATTAGGTTTTAATCCTAATGGTTTCTAATGGTTCAGCAGGGAAATTCTAACCCACTTCTGTTAATTCTGAATAAGCCCAGTCAGTGTCTTAGGAGAAGTGATTCATTTTAGTGATAGGTAAGCTCATGACCTACATCTTTTAAAGATTATTAAATAAAACAAAATAATAAATAAGTGAATGATGGACATTAAAGCTGGGAGCCAGATTTTCAACAGATTTTCAACAGTTTGTTTTCAAGGTAGGGCTACTCCCTCTGATTCCCTCAAGCTGTCTGATTATAGTGTGCTCACTAATGTTCTGTTAATCTACTAATCACACGTTTTTGTTATTCATATATTCACTTATTTGTTGATTTTTTTTTTTTTCAAACCTGTAGATATTTCTGTAAATGTAAGTTTAAACTTTGTAGCTGCTGCATCTTCACAGTTAAGCTTCATTATATTTTACCAAATTGTTTGTTTATGTGGGCGGCACGGTGGCGAGGTGAACCAGTTCTTGGATTTTCCCATGGTAGTAAGGTCAAGGTACGTGAGGCCCTTAGACGCAGCCACAGGTGCACACCAACTTAACTACTTATGATGACTGGTAGAAGCTTCTAAAAGTCATTTTTCGAATCTTACAGTATGTTTAAATTTGGTGTATATAAACTTTTAACCCACTGGAAATGTGATGTACTGAATTAAAGCTAAAATAAATCTGTGTCTAAGAAAATGAAAAATTGAGTTGACTATCTATCTATCTGTCTACCTATCTGTTTATCTATCTGTCTATCTATCTATCTCATCACTTTTGGGACAAAACCCTGTATCCTCGTATCCCTCATTTGGAAATAGTCCAGAAAGACTTGGGATAAATAACTCCATTAACTTCCATTAGAAGTTGAGAATTTTTTTTCTTCTCCTGTTAAAGGTTCCACCCTCATTGTTTGTGTCTCCTTTTTTTTGTTGTTATCGTCTCACTAGGGGAGCAGGACCTCCGGGTGGTCCTTCACGGGAATGTAGGTGCAGGCAAGAGTGAATCAGGCAACACACTGCTTGGATCTTCATGCTTTTTGTCTGAGCTCAGTGGCTCTGCAGTCACCCAGCAGTGCGAGGCTCAGACTGTGACCTTGGGAGGAAAGCGGATCATGGTGGTGGACACTCCAGGACTGACTGCAACAATGGACTCAAACACAGCTAAGAAGAAACTGCTCCAGTGCCTCCAGCTCTCAGCCCCAGGGCCTCATGTTTTCCTGCTGGTGATCCCCCTGGGCCGATTCACCCAGGATGAGAGGGACACAGTGGACAGACTGATAGAAGTGTTTGGGCAGAAGCTCTACATGTTCACCATTATCCTCTTCACTTTTAAAAGAAAAAATACCTCCATTGAGGAGTATATCAGGACTGCTGGGGACAGTCTTCAGCAGCTGGTTCAGAAGTGTGGCAGCAGGTACCACGCCTTCAGTGAAAACCCTGGTAAAAAGGATCAAGAGGAACTTCTAGCAAAGATAGACAAACTGGTAGCAGCCAATGGTGGTAGATGGTACACAAACACAGACGACGAGATGAAAGATCTTGAAATGAAACTGAAGCATCAACATTTAGGTGGTAAGTAAATTAAGTTATTTGATGAAGCTTAATAGCCAATTCATTTTAAAAGTGCTTAAAAAGGTTATCATTTTTTGACAGACTAGGTTATAGGTATAAGACAAAGCATAGACCTATAGACTAGAGCTGCACCCTATATCAATAGATCATAAAGCAATATATATATATAGTGAGGGGCTGATCCGATTCCGATACACAACTGCCGATACCGATACAGATTCTGATACAAGAGCTCTTTTCACTTTAATATTATCATTGTTATTGTTGTTAAGGTGTTTAATCTTCCAATCACTAAGCATATCTGTAATAGAGGCTGCAGCTGAACTGCTGGTGTGTGACTCCCTGCACTTTTCCTCCTGTCTTTATGGACTTTGCTTTGTGCACTGGTGCACAGTCATGTTGGAACAGGAAGGGGCCATCCACAAACTGTTCCCACAAAGTTGGGAGCATGAAATTGTCCAAAATCTCTTGGTCTGCTGAAGCATTAAGAGTTCCTTTCACTGGAACTAAGGGGCCGAGCCCAACAACCCCACACCATAATCCCCCCTCCGCCAAACTTTACACTTGGCACAATGCAGTCAGACAAGTACCGTTCTCCTGGGCAACCGCCATACCCAAACTCGTCCATCGCATTGCCAGATGGAGAAGCGTGATTCGTCACTCCAGAGAACACTCTAGAGTCCAGTGGCGGCGCTTTACACCACTGCATTCAACGCTTTGCATTGCGCTTGGTGATGTAAGGCTTGGATGCAGCTGCTCAGTCATGGAAACCCATTCCATGAAGCTCTCTATGCTGTTCTTGAGCTGATCTGAGGGCCACATGAAGTTTAGAGGTCTGTAGTGATTGACTCTGCAGAAAGTTAGCGACCGCTGCACACTATGCACCTCAGCATCCGCTGACCTCGCTCTGTTATTTTATGTGGCTGACCACTTTGTGGCTGAGTTGCTGTCATTCCCAATCGCTACCACTTTGTTATAATACCACTGACAGTTGACTGTGGAATATTTAGTAGCGAGAATTTCACGACTGGACTTTTTGCACAGGTGGCATCCTATCACTGTACCACGCTGGAATTCACTGAGCTCCTGAGAGCGACCCATTCTTTCACTAATGTTTGTAGAAGCAGTCTGCAGGCCTAGGTGCTTGGTTTTATACACCTGTGGCCATGGAAGTGATTGGAACACCTGAATTCAATGATTTGAGTGAATACTTTTGGCAAAATAGTTGTATGTTTCCGAGTTCACAGTGGGTCTTATGAGAGACACTGGAACATCTGAGCTCCAAATATCAGTTGTGAAGCTCATGGCTTAAACATCTGTCTAACTGCGCCGCTAACTGTGATGACACTTGGTTGTACAGTTTGAGTATCAACATCTCTGAATCTCTGAAATGTATTTTCAGGAATACAGATTTTACCTGGGCTCTAAGTTCTCCAACAGGCTGTGAAATCCATTTTCCACTACAGATAGCGGTTAGTCATCAAGTATAATGAAGTTGAGCAGCTTCTCGGTGACCCCTTTAGCCTTTGGGTTGTGTACTGGACATTTATCGCATTTCTGGAAAGCATCAGCGAGCCTCGCTGCCGGGCGGCGTCTTCCTGTCTCTTAGCATGAGCTCCTGGTATTCTTTCACATGAAACCTCTGCAGGTGATTAAACTGGTTGTATTGTACAAAGCAGCCGTACTTTCACCCCTCGGCACGCTGGCCTTACACACTTTACAAGTACTGGTCTTGCTTTTCTGTGTTTCCGGACTGAAATATCACCAAACAAACGACATTTTAGTCAAACCAGCAGCTGTGATTTGCTCACTCAGTTACAGACTGAAGTTGCCATGGGTTCATGGTAAGATGTGGAATGGAATCTGGATCGGTGATGTGTCTGTTATGTTATGTTACGTTACGGCGGGTTCATGGTCCAGTGCAAGCTGGACTGGGACATGGATTGGTAAGTGGATCGGCCCTCTCCGTCCGATATCCAATGAGTGAAGTGACGTCAACGTCGGACCCGAGACCGATATAGGATTGGATCTGTCCCATCTCTAAATATATCCTATTTTTATCACCACAGTGATATGAGTTTCCACAGTAAACACATGGAGATATGATAAAAGTTGGAAATAGAGTTTCGTTAACTTTTTGAACAGCTGAATGTACGTAACAGACGTTTTGGCACTTTTTTCTTTTCGGATTTGACTTAGGAACCACAGTTGGTAGTACTTACCCTTTATAGAGACTGCTTTGCTGTATCTGGAGTAATTCATTTTGGTATCAGCGAGAAGTAGTTCTTCTTCATGATTATGTGGTTTTTACTTTTGAGTCTTTGTTCCTCTCAGTGGTTGTTCTTCATGATCTCATGCCTGGATTTCTGCAAAGCTTCTTCGTGACGATGTCCGTTGTAAAAAGTGCTATAAATGTTGAATTGAATTGAAAAATCAAATCAGAACTTTTTAACGTAGTTAAAACCGACTGTGTTGGTCTGAATTATATTGGCTTCATTATACAGCAAAAACACTTCATTTTCAGGATCTGTATATGTTAAACATCCAGTCAAGGATGCAGTGAATTCGTACACGTTACTTTCATTCTCATCACAATATCCAACTTCATCTAATTTTTGTCTGCATTGTGAAATTATCAGTAGTCTGTGGACTCATTATACAAAAAGTTAATGAGTAATACGTTCATTAACACAATCAGAAACAAAAGAACACAGGGAGAATGTTAAAAATATTTGGGTCATAATATATTTGGTTGTACATTTGATTCACATTCCTTATTAAAGTGCCCTGTATATTCCAGCCCTGATACCTAAAACAATGTTAAATTTGTTTCTTGTTTTATTTTACAAAGCAGAATGTATTATAATGAGTAACACCTGTGTTCTTTCTGCATTCTTTATTTGTGTAAAAATTAATCAGCTTTTCTTTTCTCGTATGTTTAATCTTTCTTTAGCTCCTACTGGAGATGCCACTTAAGTGACATAATTATAAGGAATGTTTCATTTTTTATTTTTAGGGGGAAGCTTGACCTCCAAAACGAGTGTCTCTGAAAAACTTGGCAGGTGAGTTTTTGCATAAAGCATAAATTTTCTTACAATGACCTCAACAATATGATGCTCTCCTGCAGCTGGATGTAAATCTTGGAAAAGTGAACAGAGTATCTCAGTGGTGGGAGAAATTGCTCATGATATTTGATTGACATTAGTTGTAGAGGAAATAAGCAATTGAATTATTTTATTATTACTTGCTTACTTGCTCACACAAAGGATGCCTTAATAAAAGAGCAATTTATTGAGCTAAATATCAATTAAAAAGGTTCAAATTACTTTTAATAATGTAGTTGAATGTAAAGGAGAAGCTTACAGAACTCAAGTAATGTAATCAACCGCTGAATGGCATAAATCTGACTTAAGGTTTTTGTATGTGTGTAAAATAAGTGATTCAAATCTGTCATTAATGTGAACGAACCGGCGTCCTGAAATGACCCGCATGCGCACATCCTACTCAGTAACGTCACGTGAATGAATCATGTGCATCATCAGCACAAACTAACGAGCAGAACGAGCTTCGCTGAGAAGATCATTAACTCTGATCAGCTCTCAGCTTCATTATTAGAGTGAGACGAAGGAGAAAAAGGTGAGATGAGCTGCTTTTCCACCGTTTACAGGCTTTAACTAGCCTGTAGATCAGATTGAAAAGAATTCATGTGTACAAAATAGGAAAATTATGGATTCACCATCATTTTCCTATTTTGTACACATGAATTTCAAATGACTCCAGAGTTATGAACAAATTATGTACAACTATAGTTATTACTAGTACTAGTAACGTAGAGTAGTATTACTCTGTTACTGTTTTTGCTGAGCTGAATTAGGTTTGAAAAAGTGACAAATTGAATGAAAAAAAAGAATAAACGAGTGGAGAAACAATCCGTGTGCAGATGCTTCCAGACAGGTGTGCTGGATGATACCATTAAGCAAATAACATCCCACTGTGCTCTGTGTCATGTATAAAAATGCTGAGCTGACCCATCTGACCTCAACTTTGGATGTAAATGACTGTGAAAGAGGGTCATTATTGGGGCACAGAGCTTCAGTCACAAAGGCTGCTCATCTGGCCAGTGTTTCCATAGAAACAGTGACTAAAGTGATATCTGCCTTTAGGTGTATGGGCTGTGCTGCGGCCTTTACAGTCACCAAATCTCAACCCAGTTGAACAGCTATGGGAGATTTTGTAGCAGCATGTTAGACAGCGCTCTCCACCTCCAACTGAGGGAATATCTTTTGGAAGAACGGTGTTCCGTCCCTCCAGTACAGTTCCAGAGACTTGTAGAATCCACACCAAGGCACAATAAAGCTGTTCTGGTCACTCTTGGAGATCCAACATCCTCTCAGGACACTTTATGTTGGGTTTTCCTTTAACTTCTCATACATCTCTGTTATTTTGTTAAATTCCAAGCGACTTAATGTTTAAAGAATTATTTTTCTTTATTATTTTATTTTAACAAAAAGCCATTTTAACCTGTGTCCCACATTTTATGTGCACCCCTGTTACCCAAACCTGTTCCCCACATTAAAAAATGGGACGTTCCATTTATTATGATATAAACAGGAATTTGCATCATCGTCTTGTTTTCTGCAGAAAGACCATCAAACAAGTCAGTATTTTCATTCTGTTTTCTCAATTTACACACAAAAAGCTGATCTGGCTGCAGTAAAGCTTGACTATTCAACACTGTTGTTACGACCTGTCTAGGGGTTTGTGATGATCATAACATAAAAAAGGACAAAAGAGAGCCAGATGACGTTTAAACAGGTCAAGTCGTGTTATTTTCTTTTTATGCTGCTCTTTTGTGTAAACGACACAGGAGAACGTCAGAGTGGGCAAGCGCCAAAACAACAAACATAACCAGTCTAGCTAGAGATTGTAGAGAACTAACTTACCTATGTAAACATAAAGAAACAAAACTACAGTCAGTCTTCCCGAACTCCCTAACTATACCAAAAACAGGAGGAAAGAGGGACAAAAGAAATGGCACCCACTCCTACAACCTGGTCGGCATAAGAGTGAACATTTACAGAGACAGATCGTGAGCTTATGGTTTAACTGCAGAGATAACTGGGTAGGGAACAAGAGGTAAAGCTAAGCTATTTCATTTGGGAGGAGAATAGACAATCGCTAGCAACAAAACAAACAAACAAGCTGCGCTGCGGTTCACATCTAAAACAGTCGCTCCAAGCCGCCATGGAGGAAAGCCTCGATGACATCCGGCGCAGGCGTTGAAGATATACTCCATGCAATTTCAGCCAGCCAATCAGATGCAATTTCGTTACGGGTACTCCAGCCAATCACACACACAAGTGGGCGGGTTCCTAATAAGCGACAGTATGAGAGAGAGAGAGAGAAAGAAAGAGAAGCAAGCAAAACAAAACATGCATCCTATGGACGTAACACTGTTACCAAAATTATTGTTAGAAAAAAAATATGTATTTTTTCATTTATGTGAACTATATGGTAATTAGTAGTTAGCATGCAGCCTGTGCCCCCTGTCAAGCTAACAACTCCTGAGTGCTGCTTATTTTAGACTAAACTCACAACCATGTTACCCAGTTTTTATCCATTAATTAATTTAAATGAAAATGAAATGAAAATGGATTAAAAACAAATAATTTAATGAAAACATTTTGATTAAAACAATTTTTCAACTTACTTTATATGTGATTTTACTGCATTAATATAAGCGTAATGGGGAATATGATCTCTGTGTTCAGCCCTGATACCCATTCATTAATGGGTAAAATGGCTTATATAGTATCTAATTTGACAGCCTGATGTGGGAAAATATCATTTTCTGAAGGTTGAGCTCTTACTTTGATTAATACTGTGTCAAAAACACCAAAGAAGAAAGTAAAGTTTTAAAGACTTTCAAGGCCTAAAATGAGCTCTGTTCTCAGAAAGTGTGTAATACATGTGTGTCACTTGGTATCAACTTTCACTTTACCTTCTCCAAAGAGTGTTTAGAGAAATTACTGAGTGTAATAAGAGATGAAGTCATTGTGTGATGGTGGGAGACGCATTAAAGTCTACAGCTCTTAACAGAGAATGTGTTTTAGTCTGATTCACAGTAAGAGACCAGACTCTCCTGAGCCCAGCTGTGTGTCTATGAAGAGTGATCAGTCAATGGATAGAGACATAGCCTTCAAACAGGGAGAGTCTTCACCTGAACTGAGGTGAGTACAGTATCATGGATAATACTTATTACCACCCTGAATAGAGGGAGTAAAGACCACTGTAAACACCAGTGCAGTTTCCCCATAGATGGCTTTATCTAGAATGAGGAAAAGCCTGTGATCGCCCCCTACTGTCTGGATCGAGGCATAGCCAGTCGATCTCAGATCACTATAATAAGATCTACTGGTAGATTCTCTATTTAAGAGAAGAGCTAAGCTTTATGTCTGTTAATACTCTTTATCATGGATTCACCATCATTTTCCTACTTTTTACACATGAATTCTCAAACAGCTCCAGAGTTATGATTTTACCACAGATGAATTATTCTGTTTATGAGCTACTGAGCAACAAATCATTTTACATTTACATTTACATCATTTAGCAGACGCTCTTATCCAGAGCGACTTACAAAAAGTGCTTTGTCTATCCAGAGAAAGAATCTTCGCTAGCTACCGATAGGTTAGAGAGAAAGTCAGTCCTAAGCTCAGATACTGGTAGAATCAGAAGGTCATTGACACCTAGTGAAAAAGGGACAGAGTTAAACACAGAACAGTGCAATACGATAAAATACATAAGTGCTGTACAATACATTACAATCAATACTTAATTTAGTGCTCATTTAAGTGCTGAATAAACAGGTGTGTCTTCAGTCTGCGTTTGAAGACAGCGAGAGACTCTGCTGTACGGACAGCCAGTGGGAGTTCGTTCCACCACCTGGGTGCCAGCACAGAGAACAGTCTAGTTGCTTGCCTTCCACGCGCCTTGAAGGATGGCGGGTCAAGCCGAGCTGTACTCGAAGCTCGAAGGGCTCGTGGTACAGTTCGAGATTTGACCATTGCCATCAAGTAGGGAGGGGCTGGTCCATTTTTGGCCTTGTAGGCAAGCATAAGGGTTTTAAATCTGATGCGTGCAGCTACAGGAAGCCAGTGAAGGGAGCGCAGCAGTGGGGTGACGTGGCTGAACTTTGGGAGATTGAAGATGAGTCTTGCTGCTGCATTCTGGATGAGTTGCAGAGGCCTGATGGCCTGCATCGGAAGACCAGCCAAGAGCGAGTTGCAGTAGTCAAGCCTTGAGATGACAAAAGACTGCACTAGCACCTGAGTGGCCTCTCTCGAGAGAAAGGGTCGGATCCTCCGGATGTTGAACAGCAGAAATCTGCATGACCGAGTTATGTTCACAATGTGAGTCGAGAACGATAACTGGCCATCCAAAACCACACCAAGACTTCTTGCCTCTGCTGACGGGACAATCAGAGAGTTCTCGAATGAGATGGCAAGATCTTGATGAGGACCTGTAGTTGCAGGGATGAATAGTAGCTCAGTCTTGCTAGGATTGAGCTTCAGGTGGTGAGCTGCCATCCATGAAGAGATGTCAGACAGACATGCCGAGATCCGACTGGAAACCTGTGTGTCCGAGGGTGAGAAAGAAAGCATTAGTTGAGTGTCATCAGCATAACAGTGATAAGAGAAGCCATGAGATGATATTACATTGCCAAGAGAGCTAGTGTAAAGAGAAAAGAGAAGAGGACCTAGCACCGAGCCTTGTGGGACACCAGTGGAGAGCCTGCATGGAGAGGATATGGACCCTCTCCATGTTACCTGATAAGAGCGATCCTCCAGATAGGACTTGAACCACTTCCACGCAGAGCCAGTGATTCCAAGGTTGGTGAGGACATCCAGAAGGATTGTGTGGTTGACCGTGTCAAAAGCTGCTGAGAGGTCAAGAAGAATCAGGACAGATGACATACTGGCTGATCTTGCTGACTGGAGCTTCTCTGTCACTGCTATAAGAGCAGTTTCTGTTGAGTGCGCTGGTTTGAAGCCAGACTGGTTGGGGTCCTGGAGCTGGTTCTGCGTGAGAAAGAGAGACAGTTGATTATAGACTGCACGTTCAAGAATTTTTGAAAGGAAAGAAAGGAGTGATACCGGTCTGTAGTTGTTGACATCAGAGCTGTCAAGCGAGGGCTTCTTCAGGATGGGAAGTACTCTTGCAGTCTTCAAAGTTG